TTAAATCCAGCCTTTTTCGACGAATTTCGATTAAAGCCAACGTTGGCAACATAGCTATGCATTTCTTTTTCGAAATCATGCTTTTTTCAGAAAATTACGTATTTTTCAATATTTTGAAATGCTTTTAAAATCTGACCTTTTAGAAATGAAACAAAATCGATGCATAGCGTAATGAGGATTTAAACTAAAGTATTAAAAATCCCGAGAAAGTAATTTGTCTGGAAGCCTTTGCATTTTTTCTGTATTAGTCACATGACCATGGGCGTGACATGATGACGTCATCACTAGTGTTACTGATCATGAAAAAGTTAAAACACATGAAATAACTCTGAAGTAACTAAAAATGACGAGGTTATACGAGAATAAATCTTCCCTAGCAACGCTCGAAAAGATCGGTTAATGGGCCCTCAAATTCAGGATTCAAAGAAGATTCAATTTATAAGTAAACCTTGCGGACTGTGGAAACCAGTTCAAAGTCCAATAAGTCTACTTTATTTTTGTTAGTAACGTTTCGTAAAACTTAGAGCGTTCATTACATTTTATAGCTCTCACATTGCACCTGTTCAGCTACATCGTGACACCAAAATGACTCCAATCTTGTTCAAAACCTGCTCAAAGTCTAGTTATAAAGAACGTTTTGTTGGTAATGTTTGAAATTATATTCTAAAGCTCTTCCACAAAACAACTCTAGAGCTGCATGGTACTACGAAAACGACTTCAATCTACCTGCTGTCGTTGGATTTTCATTTACTATCGCCTCTCACTTATTTACGTATCATTATTTTAATCCCTTTGTTCTCGGGAAAATTAAGCGAGTTCCACCATTTCATCAACGTGCACAGCAATCAGCAAACCGTGTCAAATACGATAATGATAGTACTAAGGCTAGTGAAAGCATGGCAGAAATAACCCTCAATTTAAATAAGGCAGTCCACACAATCCAAAAAGTGTTAATTATGGCGAGCAAATAACAAAGTTAAGAGAGCTAACAATCTGTCAATAGGCCACGTTCGATATATCAATATTCTAACATGGCTCCGAGGCTTTCAGGACAAACTTCTATATTTGGTGTTGTTTTCTTTGTATCCAAGTCGCTTTTGGGAATTGCGAGACTAAAGAAACTTACAAAAGATTACATTTTTGTCCCGAAAGCCTCGGGGCCATGTTAGAATATTGATATATCGAACGTGGCCTATTGGCATATGAAATATTGTTTGCAGGCGTCTTATTGCCTTAGAATGCCAAATGAAACATACTGTCGATGGTCAAACACATCAGTTACCAAGAACGAATTTGTGGTTGTAGGGAAGACGATGTGAAGTGAATTATAACGATAGTTACATATTTGATTTATTTTTACTTGAAATCTCTAGCCTTGGGGAATGCGAAGAACATTAAGGTTCCTACCTCTAGTTAAAGGCTTGATGGCGAGGGTAACAACCCCAACTGTGCATGTTTGAAATGAGCCTGATGTGAAACCATTGGTACAACGCCTGTAGTAATGGCCAATTTGGTCAGCTTGAAATTTGGCCTTTTAAAACAATGTCTAGTTCAGACAGAGGCGATTTTCTTATGATCAATTAAAAGATTTTGGCATTTGTGTATCTACAGTGACCCAAAATTTGGCCACTTATCCATGGTGTTTGAATTTCACAGGTTCGCGACAACCGACAACGCCACAAAGCGTTTCTCTGAGTATCTTGCTCTGCTTGGGTTTTATTTCAAACGTTTTAATATCTATTTGTTTTTATTTCAGAAAGCAAGCAAAGGAAACAAGTTGCAAAAGTTGCACCATGCGGCTTTGTCTGGAAATGAAGACGAAGTACAAAAACTGCTCGGAAAAGGAGTAGGTAAGCGCAAACTGTGAACTTTGACCATGCCGAAACTTCTTTTAAAACCCATGAGTTTCCATTTGTAACACTGAACATGAAAAAGGGATCAATTTCCTGAACGCCTTCATATCAAAATGTTGAAAAATATTTCATTATCTTGAAGATGTTCTAAATTTGCATGTGATGGGCAAAACGCTGACGACGCGGAACAAAATGTGGTGATCTGAGTTGCAGTGAGAATGAAAATCAGATTTAAAGAGCTGTTGCTATTTCGCATTAGGAAAATACTGTCTCACTAATGACCTGTTCATAATGCACGCTAGGCTAGTCCTATACAATTTATTTTGTCTATCGACCTCCCCTGTAGTGATGTTTAAATGCCAGTAATAGTTTTTCCAAGAACTCGTGGATGTGTGAATTACTTGTGCAAATACGATCCAAGTGGGGAATGAGTTGGTTATTTCAGTACAGTGAAGATTTTTACATGTCATGCGTGGAATTTTTAACCGTAGTCTTGAACCTAAACCTTCCTCGTGTGTAATACTGTGAAGATTTAGCTGAAATACTAATTTGGACTTTAGTGCAATACATATAGTGAAACTCTGTGAACAAGCCTGAAGATGATAGTAGAGGACTTGCTTTTGTAAAGGTTATTTGCAATGTGTTGCAAGTATTGTAATTAATGCACCGTAAGTAATGTAATGTAAGATATGCAGTGTAAACTGAATTTAAAACCAAAATAGATTCAAGTTGGACCAAATTCTGTGAATATGTTTCACTTCCTTTTTTTCACCAGACGTGAACTCTCCGGATTCATTTGGCAAGACGCCGCTGCACAATGCAATCCTTGGTAAACACGTCAGTATTGTGGAATTGCTGCTCAAGTCAGGAGCTGATGTCAAGTGCCTTGATGAGCGAGGAGACACGCCCTTACACGCTGCAGTGAGAGTAGACAGTGAGACGATTGTAGTGGTAAGATTACAGCTTTTTATTAGAAAAAAAAGGGTGTGCAAGGCGCGGTGGCCATTTGTTTAGTCTTCTAAACTCTGGATTGGGCGGTCCGAGTTCGCTGGTTTTGGCCGAGGTCTCTTTGTCGAGTTCTTGGGACAGACATTTTACTCTAGGATTGTCTCTCTCCGCCCAGGCGTATAAATGAGTACTGGCGAATATAAATTCTGGGGTATAACTTTGCGATGGACATGATCTTTTCATCCATATACGAGAACAAATACTCCTTGTCGCTGCATGCTACAATGCATGCTGACTGAAACCGGAGAAAAGTACTGGCCTGATGGGCTACTAGGTTGACACCGAACTTTTTAAAAGAAACTTAGCTCTCCTGGTAGAGCTCCAAACTGCAAGGGAGGGTAGGAAGTTGTAGTATCGGGAGGATCCGATATAAGCATCGGCAGAGAACAGGCGCTCAACGAGAATAGAAACAAAACAGTTACACCATTTTGAGAGCATGGAGTGTAAATAGACTTGCCGCAAGTCGACCTCATGAGTTTCTGAAGGTCGGGAAGCGGCCTTTTGAAAGTCTAGGAGTGTAAATTGTGCTGATCTTTACATATGTAATTTACTTTCCTCAGCATTCTCTAGCTAGAAATTATCTTAAAACGATTCGTATTTATTAGAAGAGTAATGCTCTATTTTTGTTACGATATTTTCAGCTGTTGTTGAATGACAGTAAGAGCGATGTCAATGCTAAAGGATTCGGTGCGTACACGCCGCTTCACATAGCCGCTCAAATGGACAGCGTTGATATTTGCAAGCGATTGGTAAGGAATTAACGGGATACTACAGGGCTGGTACTATTTAGTAAGTGGTCATGATCATGAAAAAGGCAAATTCTTCAATTTAGGGAAAAGTCAGGGGATTTTATTTTGAGCCAGGCTAGGAAAAATTAAGGTTTTGAAAAAAAGTCACTCAGGGGAAAACTGATTAATTATAACACGAACACGGCTGATGCAATAATTTGAAGGCTGGAATAAACCCTTGGGGTCATTGTGATCTCAACGATGCTTTTCCTCAGTGAAGAAGACAAATTTGTTGATAACTTGTCAGGAATAGGTGGAAAGGACAAATGTAAGGAAAGGCTTGACGCCACTGCTATGTCTGATATTTGTTTTATTTATTTAGTCAGGGAAATCTTATTTTCGTCAGGGAGACTGTCAGGGAATTTTGAAAATGATGTCTGGAGCAGCCATGTATTAGGACAAAAAGAGTGTTTCTGGAATGCTATTAGTTCTCGGTTATAATATCGTACCACTACTTTTTACTTCCGTATGCCTTCTGAAGACAATTCAATTGATTTTTCAACATCCCATTGTCAAGGACCAGTTAGATCATAACTCAAACGAATTTACAGGAAACTGGGCAGTTTAAATTTTTAAACAGATTTTTTATCTTTCATAAACCGACTATGGTTTTCAAATCGTTTCGTTCTGGTCAGAAATCTGCCTGAAAAGAGATTAAACAAATCAACATCGCCCCAACCTTGCACCAATTATTTGTCCATCCGTTAGAGGACGGAGAAATAGTTTTCTTCCAGGAGGTCTTGTGGAGGCGTGGTGGCCTCATGGTTAGTGCGTTTGTCTCCGGATCGAGCGGTCCGGGTTCGAAGCCTGGACGAGGACATTGTGCTGTGTTCTTAGGCAAGACACTTTACTTTCACAGTACCTCTTTTCACCCAGGTATATAAACGGGTACGACGAATTTAATGCTGGGGGTAACCCTGTGATGGACTAGCATCCCAGCCAGGGGGGAGTAGAAATACTCCTAGTCGCTTCATGCTACTGAAACCAGAGATAAGCGCCAGCCTGATGGACCACTTGGCTTGTATGCATACTTTACCTAGGAGGTCTGATTCAAGTCAAATTCTTATATAAGTGTTCTGCTTGTTAGGTCGAACGCGGAGGCGACATAGCTCAGGCAGCCGAGGATAAAATGAGTCCGTTTAGCGTAGCAGTGGCTAAAGGCGCGCAATCCGTGGCTGAGTACTTCGCTGGAGTTGGTAATGCATGCGTTCATTTGCCTTTTGGGATGTGTTCAAATTTGGCATTTAGTATAAAACGAAACTGAATAGTCCATACTGGACATAACATTCCGTATCTTGTTTGTTTTTTCCCTTCAACAAAGGAAAAAAAAAACATCATTTAAGCAATGTTCATTGTATGACCCAGGCCGCATTAGCAATATGTCATGTAAGATGAAAAAAAAAAGGCCAACTACATGCAGATCATAACTGTGCTGATCGAGGATAACAGGCAAGTCAAAAGAGGAATAACTGTGCATGCTCACATTGAGTAGTAAGTGGAGAGTGGGAATGCCGCAATAAATTTAAATGTTTATTACCGATCTGCCAAAAAGAAGTCTTTAACATTTGAAGTTTAAACCGCATTTGGCATTTTGAAAACTGAAAACATCAATACAACGAACAAACTGTTCGACGCTTTCGACTCCTTATTAGACCCTGGTATATTAAGAAACATAGTATACACTAACGGCCAATATATAATCATTCAGTATCACGTACCGTATATAGTATAATTCAGGCACGGTAGAGATTGTGCTGACTGTGAAGAATACTGTTTTTTGTTGTTGTTGTTTGTTTTTTCGTTTGTTTTTGTTGTTTTGGTGTATTGACGACGTGATCAAAATTATTTCGACTTAATCTATTTCAGTTCAGGAGAAACAACTTAATTTGGAAGATCTCCTATACAATGTTGATGACGAGGGAAGTACTTTGCTTCATTTGGCCGTGGACAGTGGAAGTCTGCCGGTGAGACGTCATAACCTCTGAATTTGACGGCTTTGTTAATGAGAATGAGAGTTACATGTTGGTGTTTGATTTCAGTTGAGTTACATGTTGGGGTTTTGATTTCAGTTGAGTTACATGTTGGGGTTTGATTTCAGTTGANCTCTGAATTTGACGGCTTTGTTAATGAGAATGAGAGTTACATGTTGGTGTTTGATTTCAGTTGAGTTACATGTTGGGGTTTTGATTTCAGTTGAGTTACATGTTGGGGTTTGATTTCAGTTGAATTACATGTTGGGGTTTGATTTCAGTTGAGTTACATGTTGGGGTTTGATTTCAGTTGAGTTACATGTTGGGGTTTGATTTCAGTTGAGTTACATGTTGGGGTTTTGATTTCAGTTGAGTTACATGTTGGGGTTTTGATTTCAGTTGAGTTACATGTGGGGCTTTGAATGAATTAACTAGGAAGCAGATTAGAGGTACACTGACTATAAGTTTAATTGAAAACTTGTACTTAACCCAGCCTCTGGCTGTTTCAGAAGTCCATCAAAAGTTTCACATTAGCTGGAAAAGAAACAACAACCAAAGACGTTACTGTGCAATGTCCCAATACAAAGCTCGTTATTCTCCATTCGTTGATTTAGACGACCGCTAAATTATAGCGAATTATATTTTTGCTGTTTGTGACGATTGAATGCAAGTGAAGTTCAACTGTAACTTAACATTCTGTTCATACTTCTTTCTCCAGATTGTTGGGCTTTGTTTGAAGTTGGGATCAAAAGCGCGGCAAACGAAGGTAATTTGAACGTTAAGTTAGAACTCCCCAATATAGCACAAAAGGATTAAAGAGCTGGAAACAATCTAGAGTCATGTCACCTCGTTTGATGGAATATATTGTGCGAGAGATGCTGACTGCAGTGCTTATTGTAAAGACCATGCACATGAAGGCGTTACTAGAAAAAGTCATACACCTTATTCCAAATTGGCTGCAATTTTAGTGTTCTTTTGTTTGCTTGCAAATTAGCCCTTGTTGCCTCGTTCAAGGGAAAATATTCTTTTTAATTTCGAGTTTAAGAACGAGGCAACAGGGGGTAATTTGAACGCAAACAAAAGAACACTAAAATGGCGGCCATTTTGGAATAAGGTGTATGTTCGAGAGTAGATGGAGCGCACAAAAACATCGACACTTGCAGCAGGGCTTTATAGTGCAGCAAACTATGCATAGTCCTCTGATATCTATCTTCTAATTGGAGAAAAATCCGTGAAAATTAATCTCTTCGAGCACGCACTTTTAAGACCGCCGATGAAACAAAATGGAAATTGCAATTGTAACGGCTGAAACTAATTCTGTGTTAAATTCTCTTCCTCCAGGAATCTGACACCAGCACAGCTTTCCATATGGCATGCGCACAAGGTTCACTAGAGATTGTTCAGTTGTTCACGGGTGAGGATCGTGACATCTGCAAAGCAGAGATCTTGGATGATCAAGGAATGGTTCCTTTGCATCGTGCAGCTCTTAACAATCATTCCACTGTCGTCAGTTTTTTACTAGATCAGGTAACTGGATTGAAATATATCGTGACAGCCTGATTGCATGCCGCTTCCCAAGAAAACTGCAAAATTTGGATTGCTTCTTAAAATGTGGTTGCAATGGAAATGTCATGTAACAATGAGAAACATGCAAACAGTTGGTACCTTTAAAATCCCGCCAGAGAGGAATGAAGACCTGTTGAAAATGTCAGCATTACACTTTCAATCTCCATTCGTAGGGGCAGGGGGCTTTGTGCGAGGTTTGAAACAATGCAACGTGATCTATACTTATAAATGCGAGTAAAATAAAATGATAATGATGATGATGATTATGATGATGATGTGATAATGATGTCATAAATGTACTTCAACTTTCTCTGTGTTTTCCTTTTAACCAACCAAACGCCAAAATATGTCTTTGTCAACATATTTCTTTCTTGACTTGTTTCGAATTTCTCTCAGGGGGCCAAAGTGGATCCTCGCGACATTCAAGGACGAACCCCAATATACCTCGCAGCCTCAGTGGGTGGAACAGAAACTGTTCAATTGTTAATGGACCGAGGTGCCGACATAACACTCAAAGATGTGGAGCTGCGCTCGCCTTTGCACGTAGCCATTGGAAATTCAGCCACCATGGAGGTCCTGATTAAGGTACATGATTCTTGCGCCGATAATTACTCGTGGTTACAGAGAGCGTTGTAGCTTACAGGCTTCCGGGATAAAAAAATAAATTTATTTAGGGATTCAGGTCTTTAAAGGAAGAAAGTCAGGGATCTTGAAAATGCAATCGACATTTTCATCTGGGTCCTCTTTGTCCGATATAGGGCGTCCACTATTGCCTCCAATTGTAGCCGGTGTAACTATTCTTTGCCATGTTTACGCTTTTCAAAAGCACTCCCGAAATTGAACAACCGGTTCTTCAGTTTTGAAGCGTTGTCTGGCTTTCACAATGGCATAAGCACGCGTACAAGCATAAGCAAAAAAGGTCATGAAGACCCCCCCTAACACAAGCATAAGTGTGTACGCGTGTGCATAATTAACGAATGCCGGGTAAGCGGGCAGCGTGCAACTATCGAGTTATGGATGCACGCGGGAGGTTGCCAAGCACGAAAGTGCAATCCATAACTCAATAGTTGCAGACTGCACGTTTACCATTCTTTTATAACATTGAGACTTTTGAGATAGTATATATTGAGTCTCGTCCGGCTTACATGAAATCAAAAGTACATCCATTAAACAATTAGTTTATGAGCTCGAGATTTCTATCGCGTGATAGTTGACGAGGGCGCAGTCCGAGTCAATTATCAAGCGTAGAAATCGAGAGCGAATAATATAATTGTTTTAGTATAAATCTTCTAGTCGTTGAAGACTTCATCTAAATCGTCTTCACAGACACCTCGAAACTGCAAGGAAACGGCCGTCATTTTGTTAAAAACTGAACACTGCTGCGCTACTCACTATCTATTACAGAATAGATAGTGAGTAGCGTAGCCATATCAGAGACCAGCATTCATGATAGAACGCTAGTAGATCTTTTCTAAAACTCGCTAGTTGCATACTGCACGTTTACCGTTTCTTTTATAACATTGAGACTTTTTACGTAATATATATTGAATCTCGTCCAGCTCACGTGAAGTTAAAAGCGCGATAAACCGCGCGAAAATGTTCATTCAAACATCTGACAAACCGACACATCAAAATTTTTCTTGGATCGCGGCGAGTTAATAGTGTCTCGGGCAAACAAACAATTTCAAGCTGTTCAGTTAACCTAAATATCATGCTGACAACAAACAAAAATTGCAGTCGGTAAAAGCGTTTCTCAAAAATTGGTTTACCTTAAATTTGGATCAGTTTTCCGAAGAACTCTGAAACAAACTGCTCATGGTTGAAGCTTTTGGTGGTTGAGCTCCCTGTTCTTCGCGACCTCTTCAGCTAAAGAAAAGAACAATATGGAACCAGACATTTCTTGAAAGCGAGAGTAGAGAAAAAGCGAACAAACACCACTGGCTTTGAGCTGTTAGAGATGCTCTCATTCAATAGCAGGTTTGTGGGTTACGTTCTCCTTTTCACTTCGTTTTAAATTTGATGAGTTGCGCGTCTAAGGCTGGACTTGAACACATGAATGGCTTTTAAATATGATCTCTGCCACTCTCGTTATTTGGTAAAATGAGCTTAAATAAACAGAAGACTGAGGCCTAAGGAAAATGTCAGAAATGTAAGCTTGTATTTCTGCACGATTCGCAGTCTTTACTTCGAGCGGCTGTTTCTTCAATAGTTCAATTCACGATAGAGCGACGAGCGTGTGAGCAAAATTAAAACCGTGGAACTGATATAATTCATCAGCGGTTACCAATGTTTGATAAAACTTCCTTTATCAAAGCTCAGAAGAGCGATTACTTTTAACGTTTTTGGAACAGAAGGATTTTGATCGTATCATTGTAAGACTTGAAACACAAACAGAGATTTGCTAAAGCTTTCATGTTCAAGTTTTGTTCGCCGAAAGCATTTAAATGGCTTTCGATGCCAGAAAAGTGTTACATAGAAAACTTCTGGTGAATGTTATTGTCGTCAAATCGCTAGAAAATTCTCTCTAGTTAAGATGCGCGTCCTCAGTGCCTTTCCTGTTAACATACATTTGACGTACCTAGCGATTCCAAGGAAAACGACATGAATTTATTTGCGATGAACTTATTCAAATGTGAGGAATAAACGACGTCTGAAGCTTTTGAATTTTACATGAAGATGTCCTCTTTTGGGTGCTTACAAACAACCCTGTAATTCATCAGTAGAAGATATCATCCGCTCAAAATTTCAACTTTGTATGTGTGGTAACATTTCTGGCCAATATGCGCTTCTTTCTAAACCTTTGCCACGAACCATAGCATTTAATGTATTTGTACTAATTCAACTGACTCGTAATTAATGTGGAGAAACCTGAACAACAAAACCGACTAAATGAGCTCAAAATTAGGCCGCTAACAGTTTCTGAGAATTTCTTTTAGCAAATGGATTTAGGTTTAGTCTAAAATTAACTTACCTGGTGTCCCGAAGAGGTTTATGAAATCCTCCTGCGCGGTTTATGACGGCACAACCACTCAACCACCAGGTCCGTCTGAATAGATATTCAGTCTTCGAAGATAACTCTATTCCTCTCCATTCGTGTCAGTAGATATTGTCAGCTTCGTTTGTCCTTTTATAACTCAGTGAATGGGAACAGTTCAAATTGCAGCGCAATTTCTTGTTCCAACTCTATTACTAGGCTATCGTTAAACTGGTCATAGCGAGTAGCAGCTTTCGTAGAACTGTGGTAAAGCGTACAATAAAATCTTTGCTCCTTTTTCCTTATATGAAGAACTTGTTACTGTTCAGCTCCACAATTAATTCCGACGATTATTACCAAGGCCCCTCTGGATACCAGCCGTAATGCTGAATGGGCCATTCTGTATAATAATTAAATGTTTTTATTCAACATTCGCCTCCACAGCGGAAAAACACACCATCGGCACTGCGCGCGCGCAGATCCCACTGTCGTTCCCGCCAAAGTTGTTGCTTGACGTCTCAGTTTTCCTAATCCTCCAGGTTTAGGACGTTTTAACAAGAAAGCGAAGAAAGTCACTGAAAAGTTACACTTTGTCCGCTGCATATGCATATTATTCAAAGAGGTTAAGTGTATTTGAAATTGTGATTATTTCATGTAACTGCTGTTTGAAATTAGACGAGATTATTTTTTGAAATAACTCATATTTTTCGAGCTACATTTTTAAATTTGAGAGCATCTTTCAGTATTTGTGCCATCTTATGTTTCTCTTTTCCCCTTCCCAAAACCGTTCCACCCCATACATGTAGCTCAGCCAGTGGCACTACATTACAACGAGTGTGGTGGCCGAAAAAGATACCTGCTCCCCTAAATAATTACCAGTTAATTTTCTTTGTTCACCTACAGAGCCCTGCATCAAAGGCTTTAATTATTGACAAAGATGGCACTGGATATACCCCAGTGCACTACGCCGCACGAGCCGGTTATTTGCAGGTATGTAAGAACATATAAGTTTTTCCAGAAGAAGCTCACAATAGCAAAAAAAAAAAAACACTGCAACGACTGCTTAGAATGCTAAAAGACCGCGGTCTTTTCTCTCGAGCCTGACGAGTCCCAATCCCTTCCCTTCTAATGAGTCTCATATCATACTGCCTGATGACAGACAAACACAATGCCAGTGGTGTAACGGGAAGATCAATGAAAACAACACCACTAACAAAATGAGTATCGTGTTAATTTTTTCCCTTGGTGCGATTCTGTACTTTCCATTGTTCCGGTTTAAGTTAATATATCGGTAATGTACATGAAATTCTAATAAGAGAAGATCGATGATGAGTTGAGGACGGCCATACATTGTTCGTTATTTATTTCGCTAGTTCATTTTAAAATGTATATGAAACAAACGAAAATACCAAACGGTACACAACACATAAGCAATATCAACTGAATAATATACGATGTTCTCATTTCAGAAAGCTTTACATAGTTCTAACGTTGCAACATTTACTGACAGTGATTTCTTTTAATTTCACTTCTGTCAAATTTCAACTCATAATGTTTCAGGTATCTTCGTTGAGATATTTGCTAATTAAACAACACGGTCAATAACAGTCTTTTGCAACTTTTTTTCGCAGCACATCATTCTCTTTATCAACAAAAACAAGGCCGCTGAACAAGTCCCATCAGACTCTTTGGACACGCCTCTTCACATCGTTTCTCGGTACGCTTTGCGGACCTATATTTTTCTTTACTGCTTTCAACGTCAAGGCCGTTTTCACGTTAAATGTTATCGACTTCTTTCCTCCTATAAGGTATGGCTGGCTAGAGATCGCCGAAAGGCTGCTCAAGAAAAGAAATGTCAGAATGATGAATTTACAGAATAACCAAGGTAAAACGGCCCTTCACTTCGCTTGTCACGAAGGACATGAGCAAATAGCTCAACTCTTGTTGGTGGAAGGCGCTACTATTGAAAGGTAGTTTTCAGATATATTATTTCCTTGGTAAATTTTAAGAGTAGTCGGTGAAAGCAACGTACACTGAGAACTTGAATTATGCTATACTTGTTCTCTAAGTTCACACAAATAGCTTGGCCTAAACCAGTCGCTTAGTCGTCCGTCCTGGATGAACTCTTGAGTACTTTAATAGTGCATTTTATCAATTAATTAACACACCAATCTGAGTCAGTCAGTCATTCAGTCAGTTGGTTGGACGATCAGTCAGCTGGTCGGTTAGTCAGTCAATCAGTCAGTCAGTCAGTCAGTCAGTCAGTTAATCAATCGACCGACCGATCGGTCGGTCAGTCACTAATTCTTTCTATAAAGGTCAATAAACCAATTAGTTATTCATGCAAAGAAAGAAGTAAAACGTATTAATTTTATCGATTAATCAACAAACACAATCAATCAGTTTGTCATTCAGCTCAACAATGAACAAATCAACAAACCCATCTGATTGAGCAAAAATCAACCATTGCCATAAGTTAAATATATGAGGTCCGACAGTCAACGAAGTATTCATGCAGCAAATAAATCAATCTATTTTCGTTACTTTAATTGATTTCATCCCATGCTCTACTGTTTACTTGTCCCTGCTTGTATCCTTCCCAGGGATCATCACGACCGTACTCCCCTGCACATGGCAGCTTTAAAAGGTTCAGAGCGCTGTGTAGAGTACATACTGGAGGCTCATCCAGAAAGTCTCAACGCCCTTGACAAACATCAGGTAACAGAAGTGGTTCCCGTCTTTTGAGGTCTTTTTAGGATTATGCAAGGCACGATAACCCAGTGGTTTTACACTGATAAAAGGGGTCCAAGATCTTTTTCCTTGCGTCTTCTTATTCTTTATCCAGGCGTTTGAGCGGTTTCCTCTGGAGTGTCGAAAAGGAATTGATACGACCCTACACGATTGGCTAAAAAACTCGCGCCACTTTTTCATCCAATCAGAAGTAAAACCAAAACCACTCGTAATTCACTCGTCCGAGTTTTCCCGCGCTCTGCGTCAGCTACATAAAATCACTTCGAGTTTTGATTGGTTCACTGTATTGTCTCTGTCCTTTGTGATTGGCTAGAGTGATAACTTTGGTTTTGGTTTTACGACACTCAATTGAAAACCACTCTAAATAGTTATTCAGTAATAACCATTCAAGTAATTATTACCTTTGGCGCAGAATACTGGTGGAAGATAAATTTCAGTTCCTAAAAACGTATTGAATTGCTAAGTTCTATCAAGTCCGGATGGCCGAGCGGTCTAAGGCGCTGCGTTCAGGTCGCAGTCTACACTTGTAGGCGTGGGTTCGAATCCCACTCCTGACACATTTTTTTCCGACATTCCAGCAGTTTCGTCAATAGACCACTTTCGATATATTAAAATTCAAGTTGACAGTGAGGCCTAGAGGACACAAACAAAAGAAATGAATAAACATGGCATTCAATTTCCTTTGTTTATGTAATCTAGGCCTCGCTGCCGAGCTGAATTTTAATATATCGAAAGTCTATTGGACCGTTCTTTGTGCTTGAAGGGCCTGGTATGCGCCAGTACGATATTTTAATCGATTTTATTGCAGTTAAGTCTGCCTTGAAATAGTATTTTGTTAAAAAAGGGCCAAAAAGTTCATCAATAGACGGAATCGGCTAACGTGTCTGCATTCTTGTTGCCATCCAATCCAGAACATACGACGATTCACTTGGAAGGTTACAATTGTTATATTTGTACATGCTCCCATGCAAGCGGTTGCGTGCGACAAATTGCATAATTGCACTCGTCCAAAATGAGTCATCACGTGGTCTGAATTGGGCGGCAACAAGGATGTAGAATTGTCTATTCAAAGATGAATTAACTCTTTCGCTTCTTTTGTATGACACGGTACTGATAGCTGCGGCTATTGGTTACAAAACCTTCCAGCGGACCTTCCAGTGTCGATCAATATGTCCTATATTCTCATTATCGTAACACTTGCCCCTTAAACCATTAGACCGCTGATTGCTTGAAAAGAACACTCTTTCTCAGTTACAATTTCCCTTTCTCTGTAAGCATTTTTTTAATCTTTCTTTTCAACTTTTGCATAGAACACAGCCCTTAATCTTGCTGCTACAAGTGGTCACGCCTCTCTAGTTTCCTATTTGCTGTCTGTGAAAGAGCAAGAAATCCTGTTAAATTCCCACAACCAGAATGTTCTTGATCTCGCCATCTCCAACGACAAAGAGGAGGTTGCAATGGCAATCATCGAACATTCCAGGTAATTGATCGTGTGTGAGGCGAAAGACGGTTTTCGAATGAAAGTCGTCCATAACCCACAAAAGTATAGTTAACAATTATCCCACGAGTACGCTTTGGATATCGAGATGGTAGATAGCCAACGAGGGGCGTAGCGCCGAGTTGGTATAATCATCTCATATCTAACAAGCGCGAGTGGAATGAATGTTTTATTAAAAACGCCCCCAAGATATAGAAAACTAAACTAAAATAAAAATAAAACGCCCAAAAACTCACGCGCACGCAAGTTATATATATTATTATTATTATTATAGTTACCATATTTGAAGAGCATGGTATAATGGCTCAAAACCCATGATAGCTATGCAAATGAAAACTCTCGAATTGCATTTTTTATTAATGATCCAATATTTAATAACCTCTATTTAAGAGATAGAAAACATGTGCCGTGTTTCTATCGAATTATAGAGACACGAGTGGGAGCTTGGGAGAACGAGAAATGCTGTGGGAACACGAGCCGCAGGCGAGTGTTTCCACAGCTTTTTCGAGTTCTCCCAGACTTTCACGAGTGTTTCTATAACTCGATAGAAACACGGAGAACATGTTTCTATTCCTTTTAGAAAACACCGCGACGAAAAAAACGAAAACAACTTGTTAACTTTGAATATGAAAATGTAAATTCTCTTTGCTCGCGCCATCATCATGTCAACAGCTCGTGCTAGTTTTGTGTTTCTATCGAGTTATAGAAACATGGTTTTAAACCAATCGGCGCGCGTATTTCTTAGGACTGTTTTCTAATACCCAATTTTGGAAAATGCAAATAACTTAACGCGACAAGCCATGGCCTAAAAAGAACCGTAACATGTACCTAGTGTCAAAAGTGGGAAAGCGCCCCTAAGTTATCTTTTCGGTTCTTCCGCAGGAACTTAGTCGAGTTGCGCCCCCTTCCCACCCCTTCTCCCCATCCCCCATAGTAAATTACCCCGATCAATTTGATCCACTCATTCTCTCGCTCTCCTTCTAACCCTTATTATATTGCAGGTGGAAGGAAGTCATTGATGCTGCGGTAGGAGGAGGAGTGTCTCAGATACAGACATTAGTGGAAAAAATGCCTGATGTTGCTGAGGTGAGCAGTCAATGCCGGCAGTCGAGGTNAAAAAGAAAAGAACGAGGTCATATCCAGCCATCTTGACCGAACAAGCTTGGTCAATAAAGGATTTATTATATGGAAAAGAACACTATTTTCTTGCGGGACACAGCGGGTAGTCCTGAGCGGGCAAGATAGCGCCATCTTGCCCACTCGGGTAGACAATCACAGTGAAGGATTCGGTTGATCTTGCCCGCTCAAGGAGCTAGCCATATAATATATGCAGCTTTCTATCTCCCGGAGCGGTCGAACTGTTCAGTGACCTTTGCTTCCAGTTCTCAGTTCAGTCAGGAGTAAATTCCCTCTGTTACCCATCTAAGGCCTTCACCATTGACTGAGGTTCTACATATGCTAGTAATGTTGCAAGTGGAGGTTTCTAAGACTGTTAAACAAAAGGTCTTTTAATTGCAGCGTGTTCTAGATCAGTGTGTTGAACAGGAAGGCGATCCAAGCAGCAAAGATTTTAAGGTAAGTTGTCCAGCCAATTAGAAACTGAAAAATTGGGAACTAAGCTGAAGGGCGGTTAACTGCCAATCAAAAATTTGGCAGCCGAAGTGAGGAAAAACTAACTCATTTAGTATTTATTTATTTATATCAGTTTATTCATTTATTTATTTATTTGTCAGATAACCTACAATCTGCGGCTGATACAAGGAAAGCAAAGCAGCGTCACAGCTTCGCTGGAACATTCTCTTGACGCGCTGAAGGTGAAGATTTAATCTTGAACACCTATATAATTGTGATTATTACATGCAGCCTGGAAAATACAACCACTTTAAACTAGGTTAAGGCTTCACCTTCTAGAGACAACGCCTCCAATAGTGGACAGCTGTCTTTCGCACTGTTACATTCAAGTATGTGTGTGTCGGGATGACCGAGCGGTCTAAGGCGCTGCGTTCAGGTCGCAGTCTACCCTTGTAGGCGTGAGTTCGAATCCCACTCCTGACAATTTTGGTAAACAAAATAAATGTCCGAAATTTAATTTACACTTCAGTTATCTTTCATGCAACATAGCAAAGCCATTCCAAAAATTGTGTTTTACCCATCTTGCAATATATGAGGTCTGAAAATTAGTTTTTTATCTTACAGTGAGGCGATGAATTTTTTTAATTTCCAGTTCGTTAGGAGGACGGTTTTTAACCTTGTGAATCTTGTGTATTATCCTTTTGTGCTGTTTTTCCTACTTCGTGAAATTTATTACTGTAAAATGACGGGAAGATCCCGTGGGGGTTCCAGTGTGACAAGTTCGGAAATACTCGTCATAAAGTTTGAATTAATCCCCTAGAGGAAACCAATCTCAACTTAGTCGAGTTTTATATTTGACCGCTAAAAATACCACGTTTAAAAGGGTAGAAAAGAATGTCCGCAACCTCGGCAGGAAAAAAAAAACATGGCGACTGGCACATTAATCCATAATTCTTCGCGCACTAAAACCTTAGTAACGCTCATAAAAAAAAAGTACAGAAGAGTTCCAATATCTCTCAAATCTAGTAAACACAATGTCGAAAGTGAGGAACAAATATTGCCAAAACACATGGTTTTCCTTGTGCCTAATGGGCTGTGTTAGGTTCCCATGGCATTTTATTCCCATGGTAATTTTTCTTACGAAGGATCGCACGGTGCTTGTAGCGCAAAATTACAATAAAGAGAGATTCATTTGCTTCTTGTAAAGCAAAGAGCTTGCGAGAGCACAAGAAAAGTATGACAGTTTGATTCACTCCTGCGGTCAAAGGGGCTACTTACTTTGAAGATTAGCCCACCAGGGATCAAACGTTGTCAGATTTGTTTGAACTAGAGACACGGCTCGTTGCGTCCGTGGTTACATCGTATTCAACTGAAATTGAAATAATTACGAGATAAATTATTATTTACAACGTTCTAAATGGAAGCGACAAACGATTTCGAAACTTACAATTTGTGTTCCTGGGTGTCGGATCCCTTTGATCGCTATCTTGATGTTTTGCTCGCGACTGT